CAGCGGTGTTATATTGTCTGCAGATGAGGAAATTGTCTAGATGTCGTGTCGTGTCAATACAGAGAATAAATTATGTTAATGTGGCAGGTACAAAATTTGTTTCACATATATGCATTGCAAGAATAGTGTGGCGTTACCCAACCCGCAGGGGGCGACATGGCGCAGCGGTGTTCTCTGTCTTCTTCTGAAGTTCCTTCATAAATACAGATTCCAGAAGCTACGCCATTCCGTGGTCCCATCTCATCTCCTGCATTTCAGGTTAGTAATACCGACTGAAAAACCACATTAGCAGTATAAAACCGAGTTGTACTTTGTATAAATTTTTCTGGCCAAATAGTTCTAAGGTGCGGTTTTATTACTGTATAAGAGTTGTTACTAGCCGATTAGTTTAGCCAGCCGTTAGAGAACCGTTATATGTGTTGATAAGGTCTAAATATAGCGACATAGAGGTACTTAGTCGAGTTCGGTTAAACCTTAATTAAATATGTAAATATATCTTAAAATTATATATAATTTATCTAATATATCTAATATTATATATTATATTTTATTTTCTATCGTAAAAGACAATAATATTGGTGTTTTTTTGGTTTTAACTTAATTATTTGAGTTTAATGTCATTTGAGAATTTAAGTTTGGCATTATTAAGCTGAAAATTAAATAAGACAAAATGAGACTGATGTATTTTGATTTTGAAATATTTGATCTTAATATTATTAAAGAATTTAAGTTTGTTATATTTGTTTTTAATATTTGAGAATTTAAGTTTGTTTAATGGAGCAGAGGATTGAACAAGATAAAAAAACTGAAATTTAAACACTGAAAGTGAAAATACACTTGGTTGAATCAGTCTGAGGTTTGAATTAAGACCACTATTTTTTGTATTTCTGTTATTTGTAACTTTTCTTGTAATGATCCGGACAGGTAATGTCCTGTTTTGCAGTGCCAGGGGACCAGACACATTCTGGAGGAAGACCTGTGTAAAGATAATATCTGGACCCCGATCTCAGACCTCAGAAACGCAGAGTGCTGGATTCTCTGGGAAGTCAGAGGCAGGTGTCTTAGATGAAGTGAGGTCTGCTATGTTAGCGCTAAGGAGAGTCATGCCAAGGCGAACCTGTTGATCCATTCCATCCGTAAATTTGAGAAACTCTGGTCCGGAAGATATTTCTTCAAAGGTATCATGTGAGTGAGTGTAAGAGCAGAGAAGGAGGGTGAAAAGAAGAGGGAGGGGGTAAGGAGGAGGGGAACCAGTCATTCTGTCCCCAGCACATTGTTTTGGGACACTTTGGGTCCTGATAAGCGAAGGCTTCCATCCTAGTCAGACATCCTTGAGCCTGTTCTTCTGAAGTGATGGTCACATTGTTGTTCTTGTTGATAAAATGAAAAATGTTTGCAGTGAGCAGCCTTATTCCATGTTTGTTAAGATTGCGTCCTCCTCTTCCAAAGAGGTGAAAGCGCTGCCAGTAGATCCAGAGGTTATCGATGAAGGTCACTGAGCTGGCAGAGCAGGTTTTAATCAGCCATTTGTTTATCATGTCCAGCCTGGAATGTTTTTCGTCTCCCCATTGAGGCGATGGAATTGGACCACTGAGAAATAATTTCATTTTTAATTTTCCCATGGTGTCCAGAAGGATATTAAATTTCAGATTTTTGCTTTGCCAGATCGTTGGCTCCAACATACACAACTAAAGTCTCAGTATTTGGCTGATCAGTGGTTAAAGAGAGCACTTTGCAAGTCAAATCAGATACAGTGTCACCAAAAAAAGAAACCACTCTCGTTTTCTTGGGGTTGCAAACATGACTGATTCCATTTACTGCCTCATCTCCAACAATAAGCACTCTTTGCATACCTTTCGTTTTCCTGGTGGTCACTTTGTTCTTCGGAGCTTTGGGGGGTGGATGCATTGGTTTAGCCTCATTGTTGATGTTTGAAAGTAGGTTTTCACTCAGAGGCTCAGGCTGGAGTGCAGAAAATCTGTTTTTCAGTGGGATTCCCACGGAGTCAGAATGTTTTGAGGCTTGGGCTGGTCGCTTTGTCCTTGGGAGCTGGGTCGGTGGAGCCGTTTTGGTTCCAGCTGCTTGTTTGCTATTCTTTGGCGGAGCAGGTGTTGAAGTTGAAGGTGGGTTTCGGCTCAGAGCCGGCCACGCTGATTCGTCCAGGTGAGGGGTTCTTCCCGTTAGTCGTCTCATGGGATCTGCAGTGTGAGACTTTTGTTTCAGCTTGACGCCCTGAGTGATCCAGGGTGAGCTGCTTGGTGCGGGGCGTATGACCTCTCAGCTGATTTGAGGAAGAGTTGTTTCATTTCCACAGGTAGCGTTGATCTCAAAGTTCACCTCCAGCCGTTGAATCTTCGTTTCTAAAAACTGAAGTCGTTGTAGAATACTGTTAATGTCCTTGGGGTCGGACGGGGACATTTTGCCCTAGTTCAACTTGGAGGTGAAGAAAAGTAAGGTAAAAATAAAAGTGAGAAAATCTCCCGGTCCTTAGGTTTGAAGTAATCCAGTTATAATGTCGATAATGTAAATATAACTATAAAAATTGTGACTTTAAAAATAATTCACAGGCAAAGTTATCAGTAAGGACGAGAGAGAGCAGGATAAGCTGTTCCTCCTTCAGCTGCCAACCTTTGTTTTATCCATCCATCCATCCATCCATCCATCCATCCATCCATCCTCTTACACCTTTATCCCATCGGGGTCGGGAGGGGTGCTGGTGCCTATTTCTTGCTATCAACGGGCGAGAGGCAGAGTACACCCTGGACAGGTCGACAGTCCACTGAAAGTTTTTTCAACATATAGGCAAAAAATAAAACAAACAAACGAAAAAACGTGTTTATTTACTTAATTGCCTTTGCAGGAGTGGGAAAAATACATAAATGGTTTGGCTGCAAAGAAAACTTCTGACTTTCTCATTCTGTCCATTTCTGGACTAGCCTGGCAAAAAGCACCCCTTGTAGTTCACTTTGCTTCATGCAGAGGGTTTGGGCTGTCAGTTGTTGAGAAACGATTGCTTCCTGGACACACAGACTGATGTTTGAAATTTTTCCCAATCACTAACGTTTGCCCGTGATGTATGTAATGTGCCTGTTCGACTCCAAGAAGCTTACCGAAAATTATCATTCTCCATTATGAAGAGAGAAATGCTGATCCGAACAAGACAGCTGTTGCTGCTAATTCAATATTTGGAAGCGTGTCCTACTCGGACTGAACGGCTTCCTTTACTTCCTCCACTGCCATTGCTAGAACTACAGGCAGACTTCAATAACAAAACAGCGCAGAAAATCAACATTGTCATTCACAACCTCTCCTTCTGTTTGCCGGTCAAAAATCAACCAGAGACAATCCTAGTCTAGGGGAGCAAGCCCAGACTGTGCTGGAAGAGAGAAACTTTTTCTGAACTAGATGCCCAGAGCACTACAGGCAAGGGTTGTCTTGGTCCCTCCACTCTGGGTCAGGCAACCTGTTATAAGGAAATGGTGCCACGACTGTCACAGGAACGCACCTCAAAGCCCAGGTACCACCTGCTCACCTCTACCTTCAGATAATATTACTACATTCCGCACTGCTTCTGACAAGATTTGGGTTAGAGGCAAGATGGACTGGCATATGGGGCTACTAGGACATTCCTGGTGGGCCGCTCTGTAGCGAAGGTGAGCAGCTGTGTATAGAGGTTATTGCAGAACCTTCACTGTTAAAGAAAGTTTTAGCCCGTATCATTTGGAGCTCGTAAAATGTCACACATAGTAGTGAAATTACTGTCCCACCAATTTAGACCGTAACATAAAGCCAAATAAATCAAGATGTCCCAAAATTGGTACTTAAAACGTGAAATTTTAATAAATGCTGAGATTCATTTGTCAAATAAATTAATCTGTCTATAACCTGATAAATAAGTAATGGAAAATATAAGTATATATTTTGCAATTGAACTTATTTGAAATGTTATAAACATTTTCACACTGTGAATAAAGTTGCACCAAGGCCAGGCAGTTTATTTGTAACCCATAACACATTTTAATATATTTTGATGCTCAACCATTCAGTGATTAATTAAATGACAGAAGTGTTTTAATTTATTCTCTCACTCACAAAAAACTATTTGCATCTCAGATATTTTACAGTTTTATCATTTAAAACTTGTTACTTCTTCTTAATGTAGATAGAGAAATACCTTCCCTAAGCACATTCTTATTATATTGTAAAATGCTTAACAGGGTCACACTTAATCAGATGAAAAAAACATTTTAATTATGCATTCTATTTGCACATTGTATACTGAGAACACATTTGACATGTTACGTTCTAATAAAAAGATAGGTTTAAGTGACATATAATTCCACACAGGTCAAACTCAAGTTTGCTAGATAATTCAACGAAGCTTACAGAATAAACTGAGACAACAATAAACCAGACATTTATATTCATAGCCATTCATTATAGTTTGTGTGCAATCTTGCTATCTCTAACTATAGAGTGGTTGCAGTTTCTTCACAAACTAAACATTTCATTCAGACTTTCAATGGCGTCCTTCTTACTGAAGTTTTTCCAATGCTGAGGAATTTCTCCACTACCCTGAAATTTCAAATCATAGTAGACTTCTAATTCATTTTGAAAGTGGCAGATAAACCATTTCCAGTAGGCCAGCATAGAGGCATCAGCTGTAATGCTCCATGAAGCATACTTTTCTCCTGCAGTTGGATATTGTTTAAAAGGAAAAGCCTCCTCTGAGCCAGCATCAGCGTAAAAGGCTCTGTCACTTGCAACTAATGTGGTGCAGAAATCAATGACCAGATCAACTGTTCCTCTTACATGCCAACCTTCGACTCCAGAGGGTCGATGAAAAGGAACACTGTGCTTCTCAGGACTGTGGTCCTTCAAAGTGTTGGTGCAAACAGCAGCACAGAATGGACATCTTTCCCAGCAGCAGTTACACAGCTGATCAATCAGGATCTGATCAGGTTTGTGTCTGCAGTCATTCACCTTTTCCAGGGAGAGTTCGCTCATCTCTGTTGTGATTCTTTTCAGGCCTTTCTCTATCTCTTCTTTAAGGAAGTCAAAATTGTTTATGTCACTGAAGTTTTGACAACTAACAGTATCAAGTATCAACTTTGGTTTTAGTTTTCTAGAAAATTCCTCCACCCACATTTCTATGTTTCCTTTTTTCTTTTTGACTTCATCTGTTGCCTCAAACAAAGCCTGACTGATGACTCTGCTGATTTCTTCTACATTTTTCTTCAGGATATTCTGGGCTTTAACTTTCTGTGTCATGAACATGTATTTCTTTACTTGTTCTTTGATGAAAGCCTCGACTTGAGCTCTTGGATTTCTGATATAGGTGGTGAATCTGTTAAAGTCTTCTTTCTCTGCCAGAGATGCCAACACATGTTTCTCTAAGTTCAGTCTGGTCTCACTGAATGCTGGGAAACTGCACATCATCTGTCCAGCAATATCAACTCCAGTCTTGTTACAGACGGCTTCAACAGCAGAAACTTTGAGTTTTTCACACATAATTTCTCCAAACACCACAGCAGATGAACTTCCTTTGCAGAAGCTTCTGAAAATGTTGTAATACTCATTTTTCTTGTTGTCCAAATAAGTGAGAGCATCATTGTTGTCTCTGTAGATCTTGTGGGAGTTTAAAAGCCAACCTTCAGCCCTATCAAACACATACAGTGAAAGATCAACTGTAAACTCCTTCTTGAATGTAAATTTCTTCCCTGATTCAAACTCTGTCACTTTTTGTTTAACATTTTTGGCCAGTTCCTGCAAGTAGGTTGACCTGTAACCTCTTGTTGCAACAGGTTTGCTCTTGATGGCCTGAAGACATTCTTTTTCAACCTTTTTAATAAATGATCTGATCAGTTCCTGTTCTTCATACTGAACAGTATTTTTTGGTCTACGTTCTTCCACATGCTGTGTTGTTGATGCCATTCCAAACCATTGTTGGAAATAGCCCAAAAAGGTTTTGCTTTGTCCGCTTGTGTCTTTGTCTGCTTCTCTGTTGAAATGTGACAGAGTGATCCCAGTAGACTGTTTGGCTTTAGACAAGATGATGGACTTCAGTTCTTGGACACTCTCACTATAACCTGGATTTGGAGGAGCCATTGGTGGACTACCCTCCCACAGCTGCGCAAAGTATTTCACATCTTTTTGCACATCAAATGCGATGACATCACTGAAGCACTCAACATCACACACTTCCTCTTTGGCAGCAAGTTGAGCCATCTTGTCCAGTTTTTCTTGCAGGCGTCTTTTTCCGTCCATGTTTTTCTCTGCTGCTGTAATATCTGTGACGTTCTGATGGACAAACACACAACTTGGAGAAAGCTTGACTTTCTTCATCCTCATGAAAGCCTGCACAACAATCTGTAGGACATCTTGCATGTCAGCTGGATTCTCACCAAAGATGTTGATCAGTGTCATGTTTCCCAGACCAACAACAAATGTTGCAAGTTCATTGTCATGATGAAGGGTAGCATTACCTGCTAACTCAAGAGCTCGCAGTCCTTCAGTGTCCACAACTAGAATGTAGTCAAACTTGTAGTTGTCCTTGATTTCCTCTGACAGTTTAACCAGTTGCATGTAGGCACCCTTGGTGCATCTCCCAGCACTGACTGCAAACTGCAGGCCAAACATGGCGTTCAGCATCGTTGACTTTCCACTACTTTGTACACCCAGAACTGACAGCACAAAGACTCTCTGGTCACCAAGTTTCTGGATGACTTCTTTTAAGAGACTAGAGATCCATATCAAAGGCACATGGCCTGCATCCCCATCCATCAGCTCCATCGGGTGTCCTGATATCATCAGATCTGCAGCCAGCTCAGGGTATTTAGTCCATTCAGTCAGTGGACCTAGTGATTGTTTCCTCAGAGATTTATGGGCTTCATAGATCTGCCCCATCTCTCTGAAGATGTGTTCCAGACCAAATGTTGCTGATTGAAGCTTTTGTGACAACAGTTCAAGCTCAGTTTCTTTGTCTTTTAATAGATCAGATTTGTCATGTTTCTTCTTCAGGACTAAGACCTCTGACCAGGTTTCATCATAGTTTTGGAGAATTGAAGAAAGATCATCTGTGGAGAGGGCATGAGGATCTGAGTCCATGTCAGGAAATATTCTCTTTCTTTTGGTGGCAGATGCTTGAGGCTCTGTGTGAACAACCTCATCAGTTCACTATTAGACGCATCACACTGTTTCTCTCGTAGTTTCATCTGCTGATGAGTCTTCTGGGCCTTTTCTTTCTCAATGTCTCCCTTTAGATGATGCAACTCTTTATTGATTTTGCACCAATTATACCAAAGTTGACCTTGGCAGGGGAGGAATGTATCGTTGATTTTGCCAACAGCCATGCTTTCAATCAATTCAACTAGTGCCATTGCAGCAGATTTCCCTTTCTGGCAGATTTTCTGATCTTCATCCACTTTGATCCCAGAGACATCAGCCATAGTTTCCAGTCTGAAGGATGTGTGGGGTCCAGACAAAAGACTTTTCATAAACTTTTTTAGTTCTTCAGAAACATCTGACTGGTTTCTTTCTTTCAGACCCAGTTTATATTTTTGAGGTTTCATCTGAACTGCACTACACTCATTGTCAGCAATGAGAATGATTAGAGGCTTTGAAGACTTGTAAAGCATAGAAATGACTGCAGTACTTTCCTGGCTTTTTTCCAGAGTTGGCACAAGAACAACAATGACTGAAGACATTTCAGTCAGGATTTCATGCTGTTTTACGTTTGCTAGAGAATCCCCATGAAGATTACAGAAGGCAATGCAGTCGGTAAAGAAATCATTGGGTTTTCCAGCAGGACAGTACCAGGCAATCTCTGCCACCCCATCCATCAAATGACGAGATTTGGTGCTTCCTTTACAGTTTCTGTGGAAGAATGTGTCGTGGCGGTCGTTGATCAAGGCATTCATCAGCTGAGATTTGGATAAAGACATGGAGCCCAGTCGAAAAAATGAAACCATGGGAGTCTGAGCTTTGTAGATTGGCATGCTCTTCATGGTGACAGTGGTTGCATTTTCTTTGGTTGTGCTTATTTTCCATGTTTTTGTTAATTGTCTGAATGTCCACAAAGGACAGTCAATATTTGATGTGAGAGGATCAGGAACAAGCAGTGGTAAGGCATACTGACACTGTGACAACTTTGTGATCATTTTCTGTTTAAGGAAGCTGTCTGAGCAGTGAAATGCTGCCATTTGAACATCCATTGGGTGAACATGATTCTCTTTTGACTGATCTATGTCTACGTTAGTAGTAAAAAGAGCATCTAAGTCATCGTCATCTGGAAGAGCACTGTCAGACACTTGAACAGAATGTGAATTGTTCATATCAGAGCTTTTTTGCTGAACAGGGATGTATCTGGCTCTATAATCTAACATCATTAACCTCTGAATAAAAGCACAAACTAGATCTCTCTCAAAGATCTCATTAGTCTTTTTTATAGGTGGACCTATTTGTACAAAGTCTTCTGATGTCAGAATGTGTTGATGTTGGTCCTGGAGGTGAAGTCTTCTGAGTAGTTTTTCAGTTTCTTTTTGACGTTTCTTTTGGTTGTCCTCGAAAGGTTTGGAAAAAGGCTGAATATAAAAAGAAAATATAATTTAATTTAATGTTTGTAAAAACTTTCTGAAAACAAAACAAGATAATATTCTAACCTTATGTTTGGGTACACTAATGTCCGTCAGTAGTACACCTAGAAAGAGCAAAGATTATTTCCCACATTATTCACATGACCTTCTGATTTCCTTGCAAAAATACATAAGGAGATAGTATGCTATATATCCAGCCTTCCATTGTGTACTGCTTATCCATGATCAGGTCTTCTGAAAGACATCCTTAAAAATCATTACCATGCCTTAGGAGAGGTTTGGAAAGTAGACTGATTGATAAACTGACAACCTAATCTTTTGCTCTGAAGGCGTGTTGTATTCAAAATATTTCTTACTCTTATCCTAAATGAAATGGCTGTTTGGAGGCCTTAAAGGGGCAGTATTATGTAAAATCTTTTTTTTTAAGCTTTACATCATATTATTTTATAATTTCCTCATCAAAAACATACCTGGAATGTTGCCTTGATTCTGTCATGCGTGTTTTAGAAATCCTTTAATCTCCCATGGCAACCATTCAGCTGTGCTAAACACTTTGGTGGACCAATCACTGCCACTGAGGTGCAGCTCCTCCACAGAGCTGCAGTCTACAAGCTTCTACCTCACAGAGGAGGAGCAGTCCTCTTCCACTACTCCCCCACTCAAC